CTCTGTGGTCTCTCTCAGCCTAGAAGGGGTGTTTGGGAAGAAGCATCCTCCTGCATCAGCGCATGTGTTCAGAGGCAGCCCCCAGGGGGCATGCGGTATAGGAGATCAGACTTTTCTCGTTTTTTCCTACTTTTCGTGCCTGCGCCCCATTTTCTCTGCTGCTGAAACTGCTTCTCTTCTCAGATTGAATGGTATTTACACACTTGCTTTAATAAAATGAGTAATAAGCTTTTCAATGCCTATTTTATTAATGGTTTCAATGTCTGCTTTGAGGAAGAGGTTGCTCTGGAGGTTGGAGCCATCTGTTTACCTGTAGAGGTTGAACAAAGCCAGAATCTGCCCAGCTTGGAAGCCACTGGTACAGAGGTGCAGGCGTGACAGCCCGCTGCTCCAGGGAGCCTTGGTTTACTAGTAACAGGGCCTGGGTGAGGGCTTTAGTGGACAAAGGAAAGCGAGACAGCCTGTAATGGGAGTTCAGGGTTCACCGTTTCAGTCTTCTGGGTAATCATCACTGCTGCCTATCAGGACTGTATAGTCAGTGTTAACTTCAGTGCCAGACACCGCACTGCTGGTGGGATCCTTTACACCCGGGGAATTCTGGATGCATGGATTATTTTCCCTTTACTTCAAATTCCCTCCTCTATGTAGTGGGAAAAATGATGTTTCTATTCTCCCCTAAGTATAAATATTATATATTTTGGGTTGAATAAATCATTATAAAATTGCTAGAGTAGCTTTGAAAAAGACTCTTTACATGTGACTTTTTTTTTTCACTTTCTTTACCTCAGGGGCTGTCTTAAGGAAGAAGGCACAGATGTACTAAAATTTAAAAATGCCTGGAAACGATTAACAAGGATAATTGAAATTTTTTTATTGAAATCTAGTTGATTTACAATGTTCTGTTAGTTTCCGCTGCACAGCAAAGTGATTCAGTTATACCCCCCCATATATATATATATATTCTTTTTCATAGTCTTTTCCACTATGGCTTATTACAAGATATTGAATATTCCCTGCACTCTAAAGTTGGTCCTTGTGTTTATTTATGTGTAGTATTGTGTGTCTGTTAATCCCAAACTCCTACTTTGTTCTTCCTCCACCTTTGGCAACCACACATTTGTTTTCTATATCTGTGAGAACAAGGATACTCATCAGAATAATTTGGCCATAATTGACCTAAAGACTTCTTTTCTTTTTGAGGACCAACCAGATATTCTTACAATCTGGGAAGGATCAACAGCAGTGAGTTTCCATTGATAAACAAAGGAGATTAACCATTCTCATCTTACAAACACAAAATCAGAAATCGTAAGCACTGAGAAAACATATGTACAATATCACAGCTTGTGTTAGGCTCTTAAACTCTCCCTGAGTCAATACCTTTAGTCTCAGATGATTTTTATCCTTCTTTGTATGTGCCCAAATTAGAAATGACACTACATTTATACTGTCTTTTATAGAGTCAAAGCACTTTAGCAAACTTTAGTGGATCTGGTTAAGTTGCTTACAACTTGGAATACTAGGGCTCATCATGATTAGGTGCAGCTGTCAAAAGAGTAAAAGCATTTTTTTGTTTTGTTTTTTTTGTTTTGTTAACTGGCTTCTAGAAAAATCAGCATGTCTTAATAACAGTATTGATGATGCCTCACACATATTGTTCATTGAAACCAAGTCCTGTGCTAAGTGTGTTACCTGGATTATCCCATCTTTTCTTCCTGATCACCCTATGACATAGGTAATAGGATGATTCCCATTTTCAGAGGAAGTGAGTGAGGCTCAGAACTTGTCAGTTACCCACATGGAGGACTTGGAAGGTCTAGGATTCAAATCCAGGCTGCTGTATTTCACCCACAAGCCTCCTGTTTACTCTCTGTGGTCTCTCTCAGCCTAGAAGGGGTGTTTGGGAAGAAGCATCCTCCTGCATCAGCGCATGTGTTCAGAGGCAGCCCGCAGGGGGCATGCGGTATAGGAGATCAGACTTTTCTCGTTTTTTCCTACTTTTCGTGCCTGCGCCCCATTTTCTCTGCTGCTGAAACTGCTTCTCTTCTCAGATTGAATGGTATTTACACACTTGCTTTAATAAAATGAGTAATAAGCTTTTCAATGCCTATTTTATTAATGGTTTCAATGTCTGCTTTGAGGAAGAGGTTGCTCTGGAGGTTGGAGCCATCTGTTTACCTGTAGAGGTTGAACAAAGCCAGAATCTGCCCAGCTTGGAAGCCACTGGTACAGAGGTGCAGGCGTGACAGCCCGCTGCTCCAGGGAGCCTTGGTTTACTAGTAACAGGGCCTGGGTGAGGGCTTTAGTGGACAAAGGAAAGCGAGACAGCCTGTAATGGGAGTTCAGGGTTCACCGTTTCAGTCTTCTGGGTAATCATCACTGCTGCCTATCAGGACTGTATAGTCAGTGTTAACTTCAGTGCCAGACGCCGCACTGCTGGTGGGATCCTTTACACCCAGGGAATTCTGGATGCATGGATTATTTTCCCTTTACTTCAAATTCCCTCCTCTATGTAGTGGGAAAAATGATGTTTCTATTCTCCCCTAAGTATAAATATTATATATTTTGGGTTGAATAAATCATTATAAAATTGCTAGAGTAGCTTTGAAAAAGACTCTTTACATGTGACTTTTTTTTTTCACTTTCTTTACCTCAGGGGCTGTCTTAAGGAAGAAGGCACAGATGTACTAAAATTTAAAAATGCCTGGAAACGATTAACAAGGATAATTGAAATTTTTTTATTGAAATCTAGTTGATTTACAATGTTCTGTTAGTTTCCGCTGCACAGCAAAGTGATTCAGTTATACCCCCCCATATATATATATATATTCTTTTTCATAGTCTTTTCCACTATGGCTTATTACAAGATATTGAATATTCCCTGCACTATAAAGTTGGTCCTTGTGTTTATTTATGTGTAGTATTGTGTGTCTGTTAATCCCAAACTCCTACTTTGTTCTTCCTCCACCTTTGGCAACCACACATTTGTTTTCTATATCTGTGAGTACAAGGATGATTTTTATAACATCTTTAAATGAGCTGACTTCCCTTTCCAAATGATTCTCAGATTGTTTTTTTTTTAATTTACCTTTCCTAGAGTTTGATTCTCTTACAATATTTTATTCCTTTCTCTTGTGCAAGGGTATTTTATTGTTATAGACTTATGCGTGTTTTTAGATGTTATTTTGTCATATCTTTGACTTTTCTTTCCAATTAAATTGAACTTTTTTACTACTTTGCTTTGAGTCCCTTTAGAAGGGTTATTTCCTGCCTCCAATTGTTTAATTTGTTGAAATGGTGAGTTATTAATAAATCCTGGCATCCAGAGTAGAGCAGTTTATCTAGATTGGTTCATGAAAGTTAAGATATACATGCCCAGCAATGTCTAGGATCTTAAGGTGCAAGAGAAAAATCCCTCCCTCAGAGGTTTAGAGACAGAGCTGAGGATCGAGGCAGTCCTGAATTCACCACAGTTGATGCACAATAATATTTGCTCATGGAGAGTGACCTTGCTATAAGTATCACAGTTTGGTTTTAGAAGCACTTTTCAACTTTAGGAAATGCATAGATCACTATGAGTAGAAATGGATATTAGACATTATAGAAAAAAAAAAGATGAGATGTTGAGCTGATGGCTTTATTATTAATTATTATTATTAAGTTCAAAAAGTGGGTGAAATAGGCAATAGTATAAAAAACAATATAAGCAAAGTTTTTGAAGTAATGATAAAGGAGAACACATAAAGAACAGGTTGGCCATTGTGCCTGGTCTCAAAATGTGTACAGTGTAAGGAGAAAGCCACAGAGACACACATTTTATAATAGGGAAAATATTTTTCACTGAAGTATGGTTGGTTTTCAATATTATATTAATTTCAGGTGTGCAGCATCATGATTCTGTGTTTCTGAAGATGATATTCTACTATAGGTTATTACAGAAAAATTTAAAATGAGAATAATCAACAAAGAAAGAATAAAATCAAAGAGGTCTCATTATGGGTGTTTTGGGGACTTATTTTCTTTGTAATGTTCTGAAGCTTATGCTTTGTAATTAGAAAGAATGATCCTTGGTCTACTCCAAACCTGCCACAGAGGAAAGGGTTTAGTGCTCCAGGGAGAGGCAAATAGGGAGGATGAGTGGGACCAAGGCCTCAGGGCTGCAACCTTCAGCATCACTGGGCTCTTCAGTGCTGGGAGGTTTTGGCCTTCATGGCATCTGATAAGGCAGAAAGGTAATTAACCAATAAGAGACAAGGTGTTACTGAAAGTGGGGTTCGTGCACCTGATTACTAATTAATCAGGCGTGAGAGCACCTTGTAGATGCATTCACTATTTAATTATAGCAGCCTCTCTTGGCAAAGGAGCATATGTTCCCAGCTTAATCTACTGGTTTATACTGACATCAAATTGTCATTATCAGAAAGAATCAGGCCTTTTGATTATTTTCACTAATTTATTGAACACTTAAAATTAATGAACCCCAGGCCTTTCAAATGTGCTCAGTTGGTTTGGAAGATAGGAGGAGAAAGTGAGAGTGGGGGGGTTGGAGAAATGACTTCATTAAAAGGACAATTTGCCCGGATAAAGGTAAAGCAAATACATTTCATGGGTGATCTGAATTCTATTGGTGAAAAACACATGAATTCCAAAACCTGAGCCTTCAAACTGATGGAAGGGAAATAGGATATGAGGGATGTCCTGTTGACCAACACTGGCCTCCAAAGAACATATGGTTAAAGGATTTTTTTCCCCTAATTAATGTGCCGATTCTCTTGGAAACCTCACTGTGATTAAGTTTAATCGAAAGCAAACAATCAAAATCAAATGTTGGAAATCAACTGTTAGACTAACTAACAAGGACTGCATTTTTTTTTAAATTTTGAAAATGTAATTAGATTGGGGAAAATTTAACATAAACTCATCTTTCTCACACATGAATATCTTTTGTATTAAGAGAATCTTTGTATCATATCCAAGTTGTGATTCTTTTTTGTATTCAGTTTCAGGTGAAGGCCAAGTTCAAGTAGTTCTCCGGGTGAGGAAGGGTGTGGACCCAACTATTTCAGGTGAGTATTAACCCACCAAATAGAATTGCCAGATGCAAAAGGATGTCTTCCCATCATTATATGAATTTCTCCCATCATATTTTTTTGTAGGGAGGGTATCAACCCTAATGCTTTTATGTCTGACAAGTCCTCATTTTGTCACCCCTATAGCTAAAATATATGTATGCATGTCAAAGAAAGATATAAGAGTGGTGCATTTTAAAACATTGGAAAGTAAGAATTACAACATGTAAATAAGCACATTTCATAAATTATGGACCATATGTGCACACAGGAGTCCAGATCTGCAGATGGGCCATTAGGCCCCCACCAAATGGAAAGAAAAATTCAGGGTATCGCAAAACTTTAATTGTTCCCAGTAATTTCAGGAAATCAGGGTAAACAAACCCTCCCCAAAAGTCAGTTGGTTCTGTGAAATCTTCCTAACTCATAAAAGCTAAACTCTCAGAGACTAAATGACTCATAAGCACCTTCTAATGTATTTCATTGTTTGTTTTTGTTTATTCTGAGGCAGTTTAACTATACATTTGCAGCCGGGATAAATCTTTTCAAAGGCTGAGTTTTCCTTTGATTTCCAGTGGCATTTTTTTGTGTTATGTCAGAGAAGAGCCAGGCTAATCAGAAAATGATCTAATTCCTCCATTTATTTTATTTTTTTTAAAAAAAGTCCTCCATTTAAATAATAAATAAACGAGGTTAAGGTATTGCACTAAAACTATAGACTAGAAGTACTGACCTTGACTATTCCATGCTTATTTGACTGAGAAGAATGGGCTTCTTTGTTTTTATATCTGTGAACTGCCATTGCCTTCGCTCTTTACGTTCCTGGTCCTTTTTCACTTTTTTCCTTTAGGTAACTCACAAGTCTTTGTTGAATGCCTCACATGTGTTGTGTAGGGGGCTACAGTGGTGAGCAAGATGGAGTGCTCTTTGACTTCATGAGGTCTTATGGTCACTGGGAGGTGTCAATCAGTGATTAACTAATCAAGGAATGTGTCTTTTAAAATAATTGTTACCAAAGAAAAGTATCTTATGATTGTTTTTGTGTTCAAACTCCCCCAGAAGAGATGCGATTGGTGGGGTGAGCCCTTATTTTGTAGAGAACCACCTGTAGGGGGCGCTCTCACGCCAGGTCCACTGGGAGGGTCCCGGACCATCTCCATCTGTAGGTGGCCATTCCTGGTTCAGACGGCTTTCATCAGCATAACATGCCCCTCAGCACTTAGTGTGAAGAATTCTGCATTAAGGACTCTTTGGAAGGACATTGTGGGTAGCTGGTATTTGGGACTTTTCAGCAGGGGTCAATTTAACTGGGAAATGCTTCACTTGGCCTGTCAATTGCAGCATGCTGGATAAATAGAAAGCTGGTGCTTCATAGAGTTGTAAAATTTTAGTAAGAGAAGGAACCCCATAAACTATCCTATCCAGCTGCCTCATTTTACAAATAAGGACATGGAAACCTAAAGGTTAAATAGTTTACTTAGTCACATTCAGTGGTTGAGCCTGGATGAGGTCTCAGGTTTCCAACTCAGGCCAGTGTTCTTTTTGTTATACCATGTAAACCCTAATGATTAACTAATCAAGGAATGTGTCTTTTAAAATAATTGTTACCAAAGAAAAGTATCTTATGATTGTTTTTGTGTTCAAACTCCCCCAGAAGAGATGCGATTGGTGGGGTGAGCCCTTATTTTGTAGAGAACCACCTGTAGGGGGCGCTCTCACGCCAGGTCCACTGGGAGGGTCCCGGACCATCTCCATCTGTAGGTGGCCATTCCTGGTTCAGACGGCTTTCATCAGCATAACATGCCCCTCAGCGCTTAGTGTGAAGAATTCTGCATTAAGGACTCTTTGGAAGGACATTGTGGGTAGCTGGTATCTGGGACTTTTCAGCAGGGGTCAGTTTAACTGGGAGATGCTTCACTTGGCCTGTCAATTGCAGCATGCTGGATAAATAGAAAGCTGGTGCTTCATAGAGTTGTCGAATTTTAGTAAGAGAAGGAACCCCATAAACTATCCTATCCAGCTGCCTCATTTTACAAATAAGGACATGGAAACCTAAAGGTTAAATAGTTTACTTAGTCACATTCAGTGGTTGAGCCTGGATGAGGTCTCAGGTTTCCAACTCAGGCCAGTGTTCTTTTTGTTATACCATGTAAACCCTACGTGTTCAAGCTACCTTTTTTGGTATATTTTAATTTATGAGTTACATTAAATTTATTATATATAGCCAATTTTTGTATCTTATATAGATTGGGACAGAAAACTATTCTAAGACCCAGGGAGTTATGGAACTAGTATGTTACCATTTGTTATATTCAAATATTTATTATTGATATGGTTCCAAGGCATTGATTGATCTCTATCATGTGGGATGTAAACACTAATGTCAAAATTAAACTATGGGTGTGTATTTTGTTTAATGGAGAGCTCTATGAAAACCAGTAAAATGTTTGCAATATCAAAAATTCTTCTACAAAACAAGAATGGAATAAATAATGGAGTTCCATCTATATGTTCCCCTTAAGAGATTCAATGAACATGTAATGCAGAAAATATATTTTGCGTTTAGGTGTTCTGCTACAGAGTCTTTAGCCTTTTATTTAATTGAGGACTTAGCCTGTGTATAAAACTGTGCTGGTCATTGTGGGGACGTTGGAAACTCCAAGGAAGCAGAAATTAAAGTATGTATGGACCAGTGTTAGGAAGAAGGCAGAGAAGGTGGTGCTGATGAGAGATGTTGTGTGGTGCTTAGTCAGGTTGGGGTAAGGATGTATGCTAATCCGGGTCAAGGTAGGACCCAGTTTTCTGAAGACCCCAGTGCAGGTCTTTAATGCTCCTCCAACACTGTGGCTTCACTGGTTTTCTCTTGGTGTCCATGCTGCTTTATAAAAGATGAAGGAGAGGAAGAGGGTGAAGCAACTCACATTAGGGGAAAGTAAAAATATTTCTGAGAAGATTTTACCTCAGCCATGTTGTCTTTTCAGTGGGGGCTAATTGCAAATATTGTTGACGGTCATTTACAAACATTCAGATGATTGGACGGAGAAAGAAATGGCAACCCACTCCTGTATTCTCGCCTGGAGGATCCCATGGCCGGAGGAGCCTGGTGGGCTGCAGTCCATGGGGTCACTAAGAGTCGGAAACGACTGAGCGACCTCATTTTCACTTTTCACTTTCATGCTTTGGAGAAGGAAATGGCAACCCACTCGTGTTCTTGCCTGGAGAATCCCAGGGATGGGGGAGCCTGGTGGGCTGCCGTCTATGGGGTCGCACAGAGTCAGACACGACTGGAGCGACTTAGCCGTAGGAGATGATTGGATACTCTTTTCCTAAATTTGCCGTCCCTTTCCCCACAGATCAGGTTTATTTCCTTTCTTCTGGTTTTGAAATCTGTCAGCCTTTCTTCTATTTCAAGTCAATCCATCCCTGCTATCATCTTTTGAACTTTGTTTTATCAGCAAATGAAGTTAACATTTCCATCATTCCTGGCTCCTTCTGTTCAGTACCTCTCAATTAAAAAAAAAATCAAAACAAAATTCATAGACACTGAATCTTCCTCCAGTTGATATTGCTTCTGCAGATTTATCAAAAGATGAGCCTTCTCTTGATGCAGAGCCATAAAAAGCTTGGTAAATGAAGGATTAGATGGCAATATTTGGCTCACATAATGAGTTGGAGACCATCTCAAGTGGTGGCTATTGTTGACTGACAGATTTGAGAGGGAAATGTTGGTCTTGAACAGTGTTCATGGACTCCAGTTTTAAGATAAATCTAATTTATCTAAAGAGTAGGAAGACAGATCAAAGTCTCAGGATCTCAGATTCTTTCCTCAATAAGTGTTTTGCATGGTCAGACTTAATGTCTTTTCTTCCTCATTTCTAGTGTACTCCTAAGTCTGCTATAATTCAAGTGGTTTCTACCTCCAGCACTCCACTGACACTCTCATCTTGATCACCCATGCCCTGGTTGTCACATTCAGCAGCCACTTCTTATTTCTTGTCTTATTGGAACTTTGCTATTAACCAGATCACTTCTACTCTCTGGACATTCTTTATTTCTTAGTCTTCCAAGACATTCCTCTCTTCTGGTTCTTCATGTATATGTCTGATAGCTTTAACTCTTTAGGCTTCTTTTCCTCTCCTCTCCTTTCTGTATTAAAAATAGTCACCTGGAAATCTGATGTTAACTGTATAGACATCTCATAACTGCAGGAGGCTAAACATGTCCTTCTCTATTAAGTGTTCTTATTTTAAGGCAAGATGGCATAATATAATCAAATTCATTCATCATGACATTTTTTAGAATAGCAATTTCAAGATTTAGTTTGTTCAGTAAAAGACAGGTTTAACCCTCCCATAGACAAGAGTGAAGATGACACAAATGAAGTATGTTTCTAACATGTGTGATACAAAATTGAAACAACTAAGGGTTTTTGAGGCTTGGAGTAGGGTTTTAAAGAACCTGATCATTGCCTGTTTAAAATACCACTGGAAATGAGAACATCTCTTTCTGTTTTGTGGTGTGTGTTAGTGGCCACCCCAACAAATATCCCCACCCTATCACCATCTGGGTATTTAGAGTATAGTATTGAAAAGGAGACAAAATTGAAAAGAAACTTAGAAAGTTTCTTTAAGAATGTATTATATTATTGGTGTTTATAAAATATTTCTATTTTTTAATTTTATTTTTTAAAAAATGAAGTATAGTTGATCTATAAGTTTATAGTTGATTTATAGTTTCTGGTGTACAGCAACATATATATATAATTTTCTTATGCTTTTTCACTGTGATTTATTATATAATAGTAGATAAATATAAAATGTTTCTAAAACCTCTTTCACAGTAAGGTTTGTTCTAAGACATCGCCTGGTTTCCATGGTGTGGGGTGTATTTTGTGCTAATTAAATTGTCTAGGATTTCTACTTGACCATAATCCATGTACTTTTTAAGTTATCCTGGGGCCCTAATTAGACCATAACCAGCAGGGAGTTGGGTTCATACAGACAAAATAGTCAGGTGTTCTCCATGGTTCTGACCTTAGGCATTTTGTCTTTCCACACTGTAGTCCCCTGGAACTCTCACAACCCATCCTCAGATTTTCAAATACGGCCTCTGGGCCATTGATGCCAAGATCCATCTCTCAGATTCAAAGTTCTTTCCCATCCTTCAGATTCACATCCGTCCCCTGCTTGCTGTGCATCTCCACCTGGAGGCCTTGAAGACGCCCCAATCGTTGAATGGCCCAAACTGAATTAATCAAATGTCGGTCTTAATGGGCATCTCCATCCGACACCACCCATGCTGGAAACCTCCGGAGGACTGTTGGCTTCTCCATCTTTGTTACCCTTCCCACTCTGACCTCTGGTTGCTTGTCTGGCCCTATCACTTGCCTCTTTCTGACTGTGTAACTCAGCAGTACCAAATTGCTTATAGTCCTTCCACATGATCTCTCATTTCTTGCCATCCCTTCTTCTCAGTTCATATCTGCACCCCCTTCACCCACTTCACCTCAATTAGGTCCTAAGCCTTTAAGTGAAACTCAGATGCTCTGACTCCAGGAAGCCTCCCCTGGTGAGGTCTCACTGCCTGCCTTGGTCACGTACCATCAAAGATAATTCCCTCCAGAATTCTATCCCCCTAGTATTTACTTACATACTTACACAATACTAGTACCTCCTTGGGGGCAAGAATGACATTTTATTTCTTTTTGCACTATTTCACTGTTTTTTAGGACAGTTCTGATAGAAGAGGCACTCATTATTTATGCTTATGAAGTTAGCAAGTAATAGAGAAGATTCTTTCTCTCATTATGTGAGTTCATGAATTTCCCAGAAAATCTGCCAAGTAAAATAAGCGCTGAATGTAAAATTACAAGTTATATGATCTAAATTACATAAAAATGCTGAGAGATTCTGGAAGGAAACACAAATAAAAGGTTAATGGCAGTTATCTCTAGGTGGTGAGATAATAGGCAAATATTATTTTTCTTTTTCTTTCTAGATTTGCATTTTACAAATGGCTCATGCCAAACATATGCTGTGCTATTCATAATAAAGGCAAAACACAAGTGTTTAATTGTAAAAGTTGAATATATTTTCTCTACAAGTGGAAGTAATGTAAGGATTGAATAATTACTTATTTTATACATGATAAATGTTTTAATTAATATAAATATCTGAAGGCAGCTTTTTGGGGGAAGTGAAAATGTCACCAGGATCTTAATGTAAGGATAGAATTTGTGAGTTATCATAGTGAGTCAGATTTTCATCGCTACCCTTGCTATTTTCCTTTTGTTTTCTAGCTTCTACCTCTGTACCAGAGTCAGTTTTAAAATGGTCCCTCCCTGAAGCATGGGAAGGCGTGGCTGAGGGCTGGGGAGGACACAATGGTGCCAGTCCAGGCCCTGGGGATGACGTCCTGATTTTATCCAGTAAGTGAAGCAATCTATGGTGTGAATAATCACAGAAAGACTGAATCAGGCCAAGCTGGGAATTATCTGTCATTTAGATATTCTGAACAACACAGTAAAGAATGTGAAAATAAATAGGCAATTATGTCTACAACCTTCTCTTTTGGGTTATTACAAGAGAGGAATTTAATAACCCAGTAAAAACTGGAAAAGATAGTTCAGCCTACCTTCATTAAAGGTGGGATAAATAGCCCCATGCCAAAAGGAATTAGACTAATTCACTAACTGGATAATTTTTCTAATATGTCCAAGAACAGATTTATAGAAAATTTTAGTGTTCTTATATTTGAAAGACACAGAGTATGGAAAGAAGCAATTTGTAAATGCCTCCTGATCTTTTGCCGTTGTGAATCTTTTAAATATGGGATTGAGAGAAATGACAAGATCTTCTATTGCCATGGTTTTTCAAAGATGATGGAAAAGCAACAGATAAATAAAATAGAAAAGCAAAATTCTACCAATCTATCATCTCTCTAATCTCTCACCTATCTTTTCATCCATCCATCTGGTGGCTTCAGATGGTAAAGAATCAGCCTGCAATGCAGAAGACTTGGGTTCAATCCCTGGGTTGGGAAGATCCCCTGGAGAAGGGAATGGCTACCCACTCCAGTATCCTTGCCTGGAGAATCCCATGGACAGAGGAGCCTGGAGGCCTACAGTCCATGGATTCACAAAGAGTCAGACATGACTGAGTGACTAACACACTTCTACCTAGAACTCTCTTTTTGTTTAAATAAGAAGGGAAAGATGATTCCTCAGATATACAAATTTACACATCATACTTGTAAAATTCTTCCTTTTTAAGAGAGAATTCTTGAAACTCCCAGAAAATTTTCCTAGCCTGAGAAAAATATTCTTCATAGAACAGATAAAGTTTCTCTAAAAGACCTATTTCCATTTATGATTTAATTTGAACTTCTAAAGATAATACTGAATAAAAGAAGATCAGTACTTGAAGAAGAATATTTGGTCATCTGTGAAATGCTTAAATATTAAATAATAATAATAATGCTAAAATATTAAACAAGGACTTCCTTGTAGCTCAAATGGTAAAGAATCTACCTGCAATGCAGGAGACCCAGGTTCAAACCCTGGGTCGGGAAAGTCCTCTGGAGAAAAGAAGGGCAATCCATTCCAATATTCTTGCTTGGAGAATCCCACAGACAGAGAAGCCTGGAGGGCTACAGTTTGTGGGGTCTCAAAGAGTTAGTGACTAACACACACACAATATTAAACACAGATTGACAACTAACAATATTCAGGAATCATTCTTCATATATTAACTAATTTAATCTGCATAATAATTCTGCAATACAAGTAATATTATCATCCCCATTTTTACTGACACAGAAACAGGGGCCCAGGGTGGTTAGGGAACTTGCCCATGTTTACACAGTTTGCAATTCAGCAGAGTCAGGATTTTGACATAGGTTATCTGTCTCCAAGTCCTTACTCTTAAACCAATCAAGTATATTCCCTTTCTAAAAGGACTATGAGTAAACAAAAAAAGTGGTGATGTTGTTTGCTTTATTTATGATGGGACAAGAAGGCAGAAAGACCAAAACATACTGACCACCTTCTGAATATTGGTGGGGTGCATGTGATACACAAGAGATGAGGACTGGAGGAGGGGGCTGACCGATACAAACTTAAACTGCTGTTATCATTCCCACCCCCTATCACCCACCTCTCTCCATGGAGAATGGAACTTTTTGAATAAACAAGCTCATGAGTCATTCCTATACGGAAAGGAAAAATCTGTTCTGTCTCAGCCATCTCTTTGATGAATGTAGCCAGTGGATTGGCCCTGGGCTATGGTTTTTCCCACTAAGCAAGCTGTTTCCCCCACCCCATGCAGGAAGCACAAGAAGCTTTTGAAGGTTGCCAAGCTTTTAGTATCCTTTGGGACCTTTATGCTGAGTGACAAGCAGTCTTCGCTTTCTTGCTTGGCATTGCTGTTGTCTGTATCCACTGTGTGTCCCGGTTTCCAGGGCCCCTGGCATTCTCCATCTTCCTTCATTCCTTTGTTCATGGTCAGCTTGTAACCTGGACCCAAATTCTTCACAAAATTGCTCTTAAGGAGCACAAATCAGTGCTTTGGAAAAAGGTGGGGGTGGGGCACAAATACTGGATATCTGAAGTATTTCCCAGTTGGTCCTTCAGTACTATTGTAAAAATCAAAGTTAAGATTTTTAAAACCTGCAATTATTGTTCATTATTTAGTTTTAAATTGGAAAATAAGTGAATGAGAGCAGATTTGTAATATATAGTAAGTGAAATCCTTACTTCTTATTGCCTCTCTCCTCTAAAAAGCCCTGTCTGTTGATAATTCTAGAAAATTATCTGAAAGTGGCCAGTGTTTGAAATCTGTTCTGTTTAGGGTCTAATGTAGGAGCTGTACTGAATTACTTCTCCCTTTTGATTTTTGGTAAACCCTGATATTTTGACCTTTGATGGACCTTAGGGTTGAATTGACCTCCTCTTTCTACTTGTGGTTTTATCTTCTTGACCTTTTTCCTGTCTGTTCTGTTTTCTTTCCTCCTTTGCTTCCTCTAAATCAAGAGTGTTCACTCAAGTCTGGCACAAAAGAGACACCAAGTATTGCTTGAATGAATCACACAGCCTCCATGCTGCCGTCTGTAACTTAATACCAGAACTGAATCTGTGGGTTTCATAGGAGTGACCCAGGGCAACTGTAGGATTTTACAAGACTATAGAAGGTAACGCTTTCTCCTTCAAACAGAGTCCTAAGAATTAAGATTTTCCTGATGATAATGATGATGGTCCCAGCAACTGTAATTTGAGTGCTGGGTATGTGCTAAGTGTTCTACATGGATCTTCTCAGTTATTCCTCACAACTACTTTGAGTTGGATCCTGTTGTTATCTTCATTTTTTATTTTTTAATAACTGAGGGATTTGATGCCCAGACAGGTTAAGTAACTTGCTTAAGTTTCTGCCAGATAACAAGTAGAAAGGCTGGCTGAGGGAAGCAGACAGTTTGATTCCAGAGCCCTAACTCTTCACCACATATATTTTTTAAAAAACTCACCATTCCTACTTGCTCTGATACACTCAGATCAGACTCCATATTATACTGAATTTATACTTCTCTACTTACTGTTCCCATTGTTCCCTTTCCTTGGCATTAAAAAATACTATTTATTGAATACCTGGCATATGTAAGATATTCTCCATGACACATTTAATCTCACTACATTCTCATTAAGTGCATACATGTAGAGAAGCTGGAAAAACTCCCTAAAGAGGTATTTGATGCAATGAGCCATAAGTGGAAGTACCCGCTTTGCATCTGGTAGCAAGTGTAGTTCTAATTCAAGTTAACATTCCTTTTCCAATTCAGTTTAACCAACAATAACTGAACACTCACTGTGTTCAAGGCGCTGAACCAGGACCTCTGATCAGCTGTGATCTCAAGCAGCTGGTAAATTAGCTAGGTTGATAAAACACATACTAAAGCATAATAATACAACAAGCAGATGTAATGAACAGAAGTGTTTAGAATCAAAGTGTCAGGTGAGGAGAAGAGAGCTGGCCTCGCAGAGCAAGTGGCATTTGAGGAGGACCTTGATGGGCGGGATAAAAACCTGAAGGCCAGTTATGAGGGTGAATTGGGGAGGAAGCAATACTTTAGGAGATGCAGGATGGGCTTTTGACTAGGATAAACCTGGGTTCACATTCAGATTCTGACATTTACAAACTGCATGATATGGGACAAGTTTAAATGTTTCTGATCTTCACTTTCTGACCATATGAGGGCTATAATTAATACATCATCATATTGAAAGTATTAAATGAGATAACGTCAGTACACATGACCACTGTATGGAGTGTTGGCAATAATGGAATCATAGATGAAAGCTGTGATTTTTAATGTGTCAGGTACTCTTTTCTTTCATTTTTCCATCTGGCTGCCCCTGTTGTCCTCTGGTATTAGCGACACTTTGTATTTGCTTTCCAATGGCTTATTATTTAATTTTCACAACATCCTTGGAAGCTAAATAGGTAATAACTATTATTACAGTAAAAACCCATTTTTACATAATACGATTTTAATGGAACTGCTGATTTTACAAAATGAAAGTGACTGGTAAAGAAGATTTAAGTGATACTTTTGAACCTCTAATATAATTTTATGATGTTTTGTGTATTTTAATTCATTAATAAAGGAAATGTGTAGAACATTCCCATCATTATTCAAATAGAATAGCATAATTTTTCAATAAAATTCTTAGGGTAAATTGCCTATTTCCATTTTCTGGGAAATCAATTTTATGGAATGACCTCAGACCCATCCTATTCCATAAAAATAGGACTTTACTGTACTAATAAAAGATATCACTATTTTAAGTATGGTACCATTTTCCTTCGAGGCGTTCTGTCTTTATAGACATTGGATTTTGAAAAAGCTGTAAATTATTCTTGGTGGTATTATGGAGTGAGCTGAAGTCATCATGGAGAATTGGCTTTTGTAGTTTAGTTTATGATGACTATGCTTCACACAAACAAGTATATCTGGTTGTCTTTGCCGCCTAAATACTAGGAGAATCGGTCTAAATGCATTCACAACATCTCACAGAGGGGAAACAAGTTCTAATAAGCCATGCAAATCTCAAAACTTCACAAATGACCCTACTAACTTGTACTCCAGGTTTTATCCTGAACTGACCTGTGAGGATTTGATGCTTCCAGTTCTTTCTCTGAAGGAGTCTCAGCCATGACAGGATGACACCCTGTTGACACAGAGCAGGCTTAATGAAAGGAAAATGTGTTATAATTCTAAGGGATAGGATTCTGTTTTGAAGGGTACAGATATGATATCATGTAGCCTCCAGCATGATTTTATTTTTGCATGTATGTGTGGTAGAATTCACTGTGTTTCATTTTCCCATATTACTTTGAACTGTCCTTATTTGAAGAGATGAATGGAGAAGTACTGGTT